GAGAGACTACCATCCATACATCCTTACACTGAGAGAGACCACCACCTATACATCCTTCCACTCAGGCAGACCACCACCTATACACTCTTCCACTCTGGGAGACCACCACCCATACATCCTTCCACTCAGGGAGACCACCACCCATACATCCTTCCATTGCATTGACATTCCATTGGATGTATGGGAGACCACCACCCATACATCCTTCTACACAGGGAGACAACGATCCATACAGTCTTTCAATAAGGGAGACCACAACCCATACATCCTTCCACTCAGGGAGATCATTACCCATACATCCTTCCACTCAGACTACAACCACTACATCCTTCAACTCAGAGAGACCACCACCTATACATGCTTCCACTATGGGAGACAACCACCCATACATCCTTCGATAGAAGAGGACCCATACATCCTTCCACTCAGGCAAACCACCACTCATACATCGTGTGATTACGGGCCGTGACTATATTTGTAGGCGTGCAATTAAACAGTTTGAGTACTTTAGACCACGTGATCTTGTTTAATGGCTGCCGTCTGTGGAGGCACGTGTGCACCAAGTAAGTAATTATCAATAGAAGGCACAAAACCGGGAAGGCTATGTAGCACCATCAAATGTGCGGAATAATCAGAGGGCGCTAAATATCACCAAGGATGCCAATACGAGAACAAAAACGCATAAGGCGAACGATATAAAAAGTATCCGAGTCACCAAGAATTCTATTGAGAGACAGGTGACCGCGAGGGGCCGTCGGAAAGCAAGACACACGCTCGTCCTGGAAGTCAGGACATTCAAGGACATGCACGACCCTAAGAGGGACAATGCAATTAGGACAATAAGGAGCAGGGCGGCGCTCCTTCAAGTGACCATGGATTAAGCGAGTATGGCCAATACGCAACCTCGCCAGAGCCGTTTCCCAACGCCGGTTACGGTGGAAGGAGGACGGCCACGAGGAAACACAATAATTAAGAACACGTTTTTTGTTACCAGTAACAGACGACCAAGAAGCCTGCCAACGGGTAAGGATGGAGGAATGGATAACCGGATAAAAGTCGGAATATGGAATACCTTTACGAGAGATGGGACAAGAGTGGACAGCTTCCTTGGCGGCAGCATCCGCACGCTCATTTAAAGACACACCAATATGGCTGGGAACCCAACAAAACTCAACCGACTTAAATTTACTGTGAACAAGAAACAGCCAATGCTGGATCTCGACAACTACTCGATGAACCGGATTAAAGGACCCGAGAGCAATGAGGGCACTACGAGAGTCAACAACAACTACAAAGGAAGACTGACAACAAGAAAGCAGGAGACAAAGAGCAGAGAGAATAGCATAAAGTTCCGCTGTAAAGATGCTAGTCTCCGGAGGTAAGCGACACATATAAGTGCGATCAGGAAAAACAACAGAGTAGCCAACACAGTCCGCAGACTTAGACCCATCGGTGAAGACGGAAACGGAGTGGGAGTGAGAAGAAAAGTGCTCAAGGAAAAGGCGTTTTAGAACCGTAGGAGGGGTAAAAGCTTTAGTGATGCGGGTCAAGGATGTACGTGTCCACTAAACGACGCCCTATGCTTGAGTCCTGTCTCCTTCCTCCCACCATGCCTGGTCACGCATGCGCAGAGACGCTCATAGCGATCCCGAACGTAAACCATTTCAGTTTACTATTAATTATTTGGGGAACGGAAGGAATACAATTTGAACTGTCACACCAATAAATATATTGGATAATAATACCTTTTCTCGTAAGGCAATTGATCTAATTAACATTACACAAATTGAACGAGAAGGGTTGACGTGTTTTTATTTTACGCCACAGTAACATTTTATTGGAATAATTAATTTGGTTAAATAGTCGAGTTCAGTACGCATAAGCATGCGAAATAGTTATTTCTTTCACAATGAACAATAACTTTAGAAAGAGAGAGTAATTAACTAAACTCAATATATCTCCATCAAGTGTGGGAGACTTCAGGTTTAAGCTTGCAATCGGCGCTTGGCGTCATGATGGCTGGGAATTTTCTGGCTAAATTATGCCTTACTATGGGAACGTTAATTGAATTAATTCTACATATTAGTTGTGTTAGTTATTACTATGGGTTAATACAATAATGATGTATTAGTGTTGGAAACTTTCCAACAACCATCACCCATACATCCTTCCACTAGGGAGACCACCACCCGTACATCCTTCCACTCAGGAAGACCACCACCCATTCACTCTTCCACTCAGGGAGAGCACTACCCATACATCCTTCCACTCAGGGAGACTACTACCCCATACATCCTTCCACTCAGGGAGACCAACACCTATACATCCTTCCACTCAATGAGACTAACACCTATAAATCTTTCCACTCAGGGAGACCTCCACCCATATATCCTTTTACACAGGGAGACAACTATCCATACATCCTTCCACTGAAGGAGACCACCACAATACACCGTTCCACTCAGGGAGACAGCCATCCATACATTCTTCCACTCAGGGAGACCAACACCAATACTTCCACTGAAGGAGACCACCACATTACACCGTTCCATTCATGGAGACAACCACCCATACATCATTCCACTCTATGAGACCACCACCCATACATCCTTCCAGTCAGTGAGACCGCCACCATAAATCGTTCCACTCAGAGGAGACCACCGCCCATACATCCTTCCATGCCAGAAATCCGACACATACATGTTAACATACTACAGTTCCCCATTAAAAATACAACCCGTTCTCGCAAATTCGTAAAGTCAATATTGACTTATTAACTACGTGCATAGGTGATATACTAAACATAATAGATACCCCTAAAAAGATTCATAGAAAACACCGACCTTACCTAACCTTGTTAGTATATTAAGATAAGCATCTTATTGCTTTGTAATTACAATTGTTACTTAACCTATACCTATTATAGGTTAGGTAATAATTGTAATTACGAAGCAATAAGATGCTTATCTTAAGATACTAACAAGGTTAGGTAAGGTCGGTGTTTTCTATGAATCTTTTTATGGGTATCTATTATGTTAAGTATGTCACCTATGCACATATTTAATAAGTCAATATTGACTTATTAAATTTGCGAGAACGGGTTGTAAAAATAAGAGAATGGGATTTCATGACGTCATCAAAAACACGTAAATATTAACTCTCATTTAGCTTTGGTGTAAACCTCGCCTGGCGTTCCGCGAGCATGTCTAGGTGGCCGGGGAGGATTTAAACTTAATATAATAGTATTCACTTGGACTATTCCATGCCCGAAACGCTACGCGTATAAATAAATACAACAGAAATATAGCTTGACTCCTTATTCTTTAAAACATAGATAGAACCAGAAGATATTTTTGGAACGCCATCTGAGGGAGGAGGGAGGCGAGTCACACACAGAGAATGTGAACAGAAGAACACGAAACAGCGAAGGCTCTTTACGAGCCTTCGCTCTTTACGCCATAACAAGGCCCTGGAGCACATTTAGCCACACCCTAACAGAAGTAGGAGGAAACAACATAGCCAGCCTAATCAGGCCATAGCAACAACACAACTTAGGTCATAAATATCTTTTTGGGCAACAAAGTAGATTATTAGATTCAATAATACTGTAGATTAGGTCACCATATGTGGTATAATTTATATTTTGCAAGAGGTAAACAATTGTAGCTTATCATATATCCACTCATAGTGGTATAAGTTATAATTGTCTTCTTGAACTATGTACAGATAAGATTCTGGCAGGCTGAATCAAAATATACAGTCCACTTAGAACCAAAATAATTTAATATTGATGTTAACAAAAAATATAATAAAAATAAATAAATGTCTGCTAGGACTTTCCCACATAAGAATGGTCCTTCGAACCAAATAAGCTAGGATAAACCAGTGGTTCATCAAATCTAGGATCAACATAAACTAATTAGTGCAATATTTACATATATATATAAATTACAGCAGGAATACACTGCTGTAAATAATAAATGCGAGGATTTATGTAAACAAACTTCACTTAATCATGTTAAACTGGAGTGCTATCATAAAGTTGCCGAGAGAAAATTTGAACAAGTAAGAAGACAAATACCGAAATTACACACATAAATCACAATTGGGTGATGCATCAAATGAACAAATCCACAAGGGCCGTGACGAGGATTTGAACCTGCGCTCGAGAGCGTCCCAGACGTTGCCTTAATCGACTGAGCTACGACATGGTCAAAAAGGAGTTGAAACCGAAGTTCTACTGAACTTACTGAATCCTGCAGCCTCTCCGAGGCACAAACCATGGTTTTACACAACTCCCCCCCATGCACTCGAGCTATGTCAATAGGCCGTTCTCCCTCTTCACCCTTACTTCATTACACACAGAAATCACAATTGCGTGATGCATCAAATGAACAAATCTATAAGGGCCGTGACGAGAATTCGAACCTGCGTCCGAGAGCATCCCAGACGCTGCCTTAATCGACGGAGCTACGACATGGTCAAAAGGAGACCGCATCTTGCTGAGAGACAAAATGTATGTCCGTCCTCGACGAATAGTTCAAAATAGTGACGCTTCTTACCTCCTGCGCTCACGACTCCAACGTTGATGTCACGTCACATAATGCGATGGCGTGTTCTCATTGGTCGTGACCCCGACAACCTGTCATTCACAATTTAAACTGTCCTAGAGATGCTCCCTCCTGAGCCTGAATGTGTCAGCCATCTTGGCTCTCAGGCAGGGTTCCTTACCCTCCTCTACCCAACTTGTAACCATCATAAAATCCTGGTTTCATCCTTCTCCTTAACCATAACCAAAAATAAAACTATGAAGCTTCTAGACTGTGTCCAGGGAGGTGGGGGGAGAATGACTCTTTATAGGCGGGAGAGGAGTGTATCTTGCTGGTACACTCAACAAGCTGGAGAGTACTAAAGAATATCAATGGGAGAAAGGGTATTAATAAAATATTGTGGTGGATAGGATGCAAGATAAAAGTGTTGGTTGGTGTGAGGTCACTTACACTGGTGATAATAGCTTGCAACCGAGGAGTGACGTCAGGGGAGCACCAAGCCAACGTCAGCAGGTTGAGGCCGTGGGAGGTGGTGCTGAGCGGTGCTCCTGCTGCCACCAGGAGGCTCACAATCCTGGGCCGGTTACTGGTGACGGCGGAGCAAAGGGCGGATATAGCCAAGCCTCCCACTGGTTCCAGCGGCGATCCTTTCTCTAGCAGGTCCACTGCCCACCTGACGTCATCGCACTGACTGATGACAAACAACAGGATATAGTACTGCTGTTCTTGTGAATCAACATCTGAGAATGAGTTTTTGACATTTACCAGCTGCACATCCTTGTTCAGCTGGTATTGACCCGCCAGGAACATAAACTGCTGGTACTCTGCATGTAGAGCTCCTTGCATTATCTGTGTCCGTTGTACCAACTGCTGCTCTACAACCCGTAATGACAGCTGGTGGAGACCGGACCATATGACCAGCTGGTGGTGACCTGCCTGTAGTGCCAGGTCACAAGGAGTCTCGCCAGCCCAGGTCATGACGTGAGCGTATACCCTGCACTCCTCCAGGAGAGCCTTTACCGCCTTTGTCATGCCCAGCGCCGCTGCCCAGTGGAGTAGAGTCCTACCAGTGGCATCCTGCTGGTGCCCATAAACAGTGTTCGGGATATTCACAGAGAGGTTTAAAAAGTTTCCTGCCGTGATCTCCTTCACCATCTCCTTAAAATGTACTTCATTCTGCTCCCAGCACCGTCGCTGTGAACAAAAAAAAAGAAAAGATATCAATATTTTTGGCAATTATTGTACAAAGAATAAGGCTCACAATTCATTATATCTACAAAATAAATGATTGAACAATAACTGTAGGAAGAAATCGCTTCAGTGACAATATTCAATTAGCAGTTGGAAATTACCTAACAATTATTATCAATATTCCTGCAACAATTCTCAATATTGCTGAAAAATTATTCTATCACAAAACTTCAGCAACAGTCAATAATATTCCAACAACAGTCAATAATACTTCAGCAACAGTCAATAATATTCCAACAACAGTCAATAATACTTCAGCAACAGTCAATAATATTCCAGCAACAGTCAATAATACTTCAGCAACAGTCAATAATATTCCAACAACAGTCAATAATATTCCAGCAACAGTCAATAATATTCCAGCAACAGTCAATAATACTTCAGCAACAGTCAATAATACTTCAGCAACAGTCAATAATATTCCAACAACAGTCAATAATATTCCAGCAACAGTCAATAATATTCCAGCAACAGTCAATAATACTTCAGCAAGAGTCAATAATATTCCAACAACAGTCAATAATATTCCAACAACAGTCAACAATACTCCAGCAACAGTCAACAATTCTCCAGCAACAGTCAACAGTACTCCAGCAACAGTCAACAATACTTCAGCAACAGTCAACAACACTCCAGCAACAGTCAACAATACTTCAGCAACAGTAAATAATATTCCAGCAACAGTCAATAATACTTCAGCAACAGTCAACAATAGTCCAGAAACAGTCAACAATACTCCAGCAAAAGTCAACAATACTCCAGCAACAGTCAACAATACTTCAGCAACAGTCAACAATACTCCAGCAACAGTCAACAATACTTCAGCAACAGTCAACAATGCTCCAGCAACAGTCAACAATACTCCAGCAGCAGCAATACTCTAGCAACAGTCAACAATACTCCAGCAACAGTCAACAATACTCCAGCAACAGTCAACAATACTCCAGCAACAGTCAACCATACTCCAAAGACAATCAACAATACTCCAGCAACCGTCAACAATACTCCAGCAACAGTCAACAATATTCCAAAGACAATCAACAATACTCCAAAGACAGTCAACAATAGTCTAGAAACAGTCAACAATGCTCTAAGCCCAGCAAACAATTTTAGGTTTCCACAACGTACCTGGAAAGTGTTTGAAAGGAGGGGCAACGTTCCTTATCACATAATATATACATTATTGAGTGGAGTCGTAAATTGGTTGCCACAACTTTCTGCACAATGTTGGCTAAACAAAATTTGAGACCTTGTGTCAACCTAAAATGTTGCTTAAAAGGAGTTTTCGTGATTTATGATATATATATATATATATATATATATATATATATATATATATATATATATATATATATATATATATATATATATATATATATATATATATATATATATATATATATATATATATATATATATATATATATATATATATATATATATATATATATATATATATATATATATATATATATATATATATATATATATATATATATATATATATATATATATATATATATATATATATATATATATATATATATATATATATATATATATATATATATATATATATATATATATATATATATATATATATAGTATATTTTGGTAGCAGTCTTTCCTGTAGACATATATTATTAAATATGACCAAAAAAGTAAGATTAATAATTCTAACACGAATTTTCTCGATCTTTCGTACATTTCTTTTCACTGTTGTTGGTAATTCAAAAATCAATTCTCCAAAATTCATTTTTATTTCGTGTTTCGTTTTTTATTTCGTGTTTATTTCGTGTTTTTATTTCGTGTATTTAATTCGTATTAGAATTATTAATCTTACTTTTTCGGTCATATTTAATAATATATATATATATATATATATATTGGTGTATACTGGCAGCAGGTTTTCTTTCAAACATGTTTCACTGAATATGACCGCATATTCTGTATTTATTATTTTCTGGTTTAGGGCTTCTATCCCTCTAACTATTTTCTTAGCATCAGGGCTTAATTGAAATAGGAGTTCTCCAAAACTCATTTTCGTACTTTTAAGGTGAAGAAAAGAAGTGATTTACTATAGAGTGTATTACACTTATTTGTATAATTTGCACGACGTTTCGAACCTCCATGGTTCATTCTCAAGTGAACAGATCTTACAATACTAGTTGATTTTATACACGCATTAGGTCAGGTGATAATACAATGAAGGTGAAAACATGGGGGGATACATAAGGGATAAATGTGAGGTGAAACATAGAGGCTGCAGAAGGCTTATTGGCCCATACGAGGCATCTCCTATCTAAACACAAAGATTAATCCAGTGTAATTGGCCTGTTATGTTCGACATTGTCTTCTGTGTTGGCATCGATATGTTCTTGTCTTGTCCTTACTCTCATGGTGGGTAGAGTAAATAGTTCCGTAATTTGGGTGTTCATGGTAGGTCGCTCTATTCTTATGTGAATTGCCTCAAGAAACGTCGTGCAAATTATACAAATAAGTGTAATACACTCTATAGTAAATCACTTCTTTTCTTCACCTTAAAAGTACGAAAATGAGTTTTGGAGAACTCCTATTTCAATTAAGCCCTGATGCTAAGAAAATAGTTAGAGGGATAGAAGCCCTAAACCAGAAAATAATAAATACAGAATATGCAGTCATATTCAATGAAAAATATATATATATATATATATATATATATATATATATATATATATATATATATATAGTAATATATATATATATATGAAAACTATGATCGAACCCATACTCCCAGAAGCAACGCAACTGGTAACTACAGGGCGCCTTAGGTGATTTGGTGAAATGCTATGCCCAAGATTACCATCCGAGTTGCCGTCGGGGAAGTGGCTCAAATAGCCTCGGCTATCACTTCCTTTTGACGGCCGTGATGGTCAAGCGGATTAAGGCGCCCTGTAGTTACCAGTTGCGTTGCTTCTGGGAGTATGGGTTCGAGTCACTTCTGGGGTGTGAGTTTTCATTCGCATATAGTCCTGGGGACCATTCAGGCTTGTTCGCATTTGTGTTCCTCACGTGTGCCCCAAAGAATGAGGTGATTTGGTGAAATGCTATGCCCAAGATTACCATCCGAGTTGCCGTCGGGGAAGTGGCTCAAATAGCCTCGGCTATCACTTCCTTTTGACGGCCGTGATGGTCAAGCGGATTAAGGCGCCCTGTAGTTACCAGTTGCGTTGCTTCTGGGAGTATGGGTTCGAGTCACTTCTGGGGTGTGAGTTTTCATTCGCATATAGTCCTGGGGACCATTCAGGCTTGTTCGCATTTGTGTTCCTCACGTGTGCCCCAAAGAATGAGGTGATTTGGTGAAATGCTATGCCCAAGATTACCATCCGAGTTGCCGTCGGGGAAGTGGCTCAAATAGCCTCGGCTATCACTTCCTTTTGACGGCCGTGATGGTCAAGCGGATTAAGGCGCCCTGTAGTTACCAGTTGCGTTGCTTCTGGGAGTATGGGTTCGAGTCACTTCTGGGGTGTGAGTTTTCATTCGCATATAGTCCTGGGGACCATTCAGGCTTGTTCGCATTTGTGTTCCTCACGTGTGCCCCAAAGAATGAGGTGATTTGGTGAAATGCTATGCCCAAGATTACCATCCGAGTTGCCGTCGGGGAAGTGGCTCAAATAGCCTCGGCTATCACTTCCTTTTGACGGCCGTGATGGTCAAGCGGATTAAGGCGCCCTGTAGTTACCAGTTGCGTTGCTTCTGGGAGTATGGGTTCGAGTCACTTCTGGGGTGTGAGTTTTCATTCGCATATAGTCCTGGGGACCATTCAGGCTTGTTCGCATTTGTGTTCCTCACGTGTGCCCCAAAGAATGAGGTGATTTGGTGAAATGCTATGCCCAAGATTACCATCCGAGTTGCCGTCGGGGAAGTGGCTCAAATAGCCTCAGCTATCACTTCCTTTTGACGGCCGTGATGGTCAAGCGGATTAAGGGGGCGTCTGGTTATTATAATGAAAGTTGTTCAATGTCAACCAATATTATTTTTCTAGTTGTATATGAAAAGTGCTTAAATTGTCCCAAGTTTCAGTACTGCAGCGTAAATAGAAAGGGAGTTTTATTTTATTTTATTTTTTTTTGAACGTTTTTTACACATTTTCAAGTCCACACTTCAGAACACACGTTTCAGATAAAATTATTCTGTAACACTTTTCTGACACATTAGCATACAATAAAGGATTTGGGGATTTAAAATTTCCAAAACATCTTTAGTTTTCCTAATACAAATGTTCAAAGTTCCCCAAAAATTTTTTGCAAATATGGCATGTTTATTGCTATTATAAAATCAATAAATGAACTTAGAGAAAAATGAAAGCCCCCCAATGTAGAGACATGCCCTCTACATATACTGTGTAAGTTTCATGTAAATTGAATAAAAAAAGAATGAGTTTTGTAAACGTTTGTGTCAATTGAAAAAAAAACAGAAATGAATAAAGTCTAAGGTTCTAAAATCTGTGGCTGGGTTTGACATCAACCAATTTTCTTCAAAATTGGCATCCTTACAGATAGGCTTACGTACAGTCAGGTGTGTAAGTTTGATGCAAATCGCCCCAAAAAAAATGAAAAAAAAAAATATTTAAAAAAAAAAAAAGAAAAAAAAAATCCTTTTTTTTTTTTTTCCTTAAATTTTTTTTCCAATTAAACTAATAATAATATTTGTTTAATATATGCTATTGTGATAGCAAAGAGTTGTAGTTATGATTTCAGTTGACACTTTTGATTGATAATCGATTTTGACCATTTTTGCATTATTTTCACAACTACTTCAATATTTTTTTTCTCCCTTCCTATTTATGCTACAATGCTGAAACTTGGACCAGATGAAACACTTTTCATATAGAACTTGTCAAAAAAGTTTGATTGAACTCGAATGAGTTTTCATTTTTGCATTTTTGGACCCAGATGCCAACCAGACGCCCCCTTAAGGCG